ACCCTTGATAAGGGAATTCTAGCCGGGATCGTAAGCTACTACTGCTCTTTCCGGTTTGACATCATGCATATTTCATTTTGTATTAGTATTATTATTATTTATTCCCCGTCATCGGTATATCGCCATTTTCTGGATCCATTTTTGCCAGTGGACGGATCTGTGGAATCGCATATCCCTGCTTTTATGCTGTCCGCGTTTTTCAACCAAAATTCTAGCTTTGCCCACAAACTCTTCATGTTTGAGATCTGTTTCATTATCCGTGATCTCTAAAAGCGCTTACTAAGCTCTCCACTTGACTCACTATCATTCAACACAGCTCAGCTTTTCCTCACGCTGTTCTGCTTTCTGTGCATGTTATGTCCACGTTCGTAAATTGTTGTCTGTCCTGAGATCTTTTCGAGGTTAGAACTCCGTTTTCTCCATGTAGATCTTAATATGGTCATTCCTTCTTGACATGGCGTATAATGTTTTGGATGCAGTTTCTTCGGTACGTCGTCGAGGGACATGTTCGGCTGGGCCTTCGGATGGCAGCTGGTAGTTGGATATGATTGAAGCATTATTGGATCAGTGAGTTAGGCTCCTTATCGAGAAGGCTTTTCAGTAAACGTGAGAGGCACTAGTCATGGAGCAACTCAACTTTTGATATCTCCCTTGCAAAGTAACCAACATTTACAAGTGTGTAGTAAAACCGGTCTGGTAGTATTTTTTACGAGTCAGGTGAATAATTACGAAGCTAGGATGCCGAATGGATGATGATTTTTCGCCGGATCGGGTGGTCGTGACTTCATCAGAGTTCGGTAAAACAATACCTAGATACAGCTATCACAATACCAATATCAATATTTGTTTGTTCTGAAACCAGTAAGATGTATCTTCTTATATGACGTTAATACATGCTGAAGTGCGGACAGTGATACATCCTGCTAACGCTGTGTGATTGTTTAAACGAAATAACCGTAAAATATTGTCAATGTTATTAGGAAACCACACAGATTGGACATGTACATGCAGACAAATTTGGCAATGTATTAAAACTTCAATCTGATTTGACATTCAGTTTGAGCGTTTCAGTGCTTCAATGTTGATCAGAGTTACTGACAACATACCAAGCATCATTTACCTTATTTAGGTATTCTAGCTCAAGGTATCTAAATACGATTGTCCGAATCATGTCTAGCTCTTCAAAAAAAGATTCCGTTAAAGACAGCGAATTTTTGCCTTCTCAGTTTCCGATAGAATGCTTGCGCGAATATGTCGCAGCAGCAGGATTGACTTTGGACGACGATAGTCTAGAAGTTCTTGGCAGAGGCGCCTCAGATGAAGTAACGATAGTAGTAGAGGTACCGTTCAATGGAACTCGCATTTGATCTGTTTCTTTCTACATCTGGTTGCGGTTTAGGCGGCTGCTGACCATATGGTGCGTTGTGGTCGTCAATTATTGCTGGCGTCAGACATCCGCGAAGCGGTCCGAATCCTGGATTCACCGGTAGGTTTATCGGCGCCGCTCCACTGAATAAATTATCGTTAATATATGCTCTATAACAAACTTTGTTTAAGCGGGTACATCTGGCTTTCGGGACGCGTCACCAAAACTGTCCTATCATTGATGATTGCGACGTGGATGCTGATAGCATTACTGAAGAAACAGACTTAGATTTGGTAGCCGAGGTAGAAGAGGAGCCTGGAATTTCAATTATAACTATTGCAGGTAGGAACGAGACAGAGCATTACATTTCGTACACAAAACACAAGATCGTATATACTCGGTGTTTTTTATAGATCGTGACGCAAATTTCATTTTCGGTTCGTTCGCCCGTTTATACCTTTTCTATAATATATCTTCATCTTCCATGGCCGCTTCTCTTTTCGCGTCGTGGATGCAGATGCGCCCAAGTTCCCCATCCTATGCCAGCATCAGAGCTTCGCCAGAATACAGCCCGAGGCTAGAGTACACTCCTTCCATATATTTGCGCAAGGTTAATCTTGGCCGTTCTCTGAGTCTTCTGCCTTTCGGCTGGGCAAGAAATATTTTCTTCGCCATCCTTTCTATAGGCTTTTGCAACACATGCCCAAATTATCTCAGCTGTGACTTCTCAGTCTGAAGAAGCAGCGGCTGTACACGAAGGTTCTCGCGAATTTCAGTACTTTGGCAAATGTTGAGACGCTTATGACCAGCAACTCGTCCCAGAAAGCCCATTTCAGCCGCTTGTACCTCGAAGATTTTCAGTCATGACCCATGACTCATGACGTGGTTAAGCATGAGGATGAAGATCGACTTGAATGCCGATAACTTAGTCTTCAAACTCTGCTCTACTCTCGCCACAGTGGTGCGGACTAGTTCACGTAGAACGCCACTGGCTACTCCCGTCGAACTATTTCCCAAACTAAAACTTTCCATCACCGGTAGACACGACCCGGAAATAGTTGAACTTCTTCACCTGCTCCACTGCCTCTCCGTTTATCTGAAGAGCCACGGTCAGGAGAACGAGGAAGCACTAGGCTTTTCATTTTAGATGCGTTCACATGCATGTGGACTGCAAACCTTTCCAGAGAGCGCTGTAGATCAGTTTTAGAAGATGCCAAATTGCAAGGTCGTCCGTAAACAGCAACCTTCTCTTCTCGACACCTCCCATATGGACACACTCATCGCTTGGCTGCGCCGGACTATTCTGTCGATGTACAACACAAACAGAAGAGCGAACAGAACGCAACCTTGGCGGAGACTAGTGCGAACTCTGATTCGATTTAACGCCATTTACTATAACGTACCACCTGTTATCAGCATATAGTGAGTGGATGGCCCGTATCAACTGGTGATCAATCCCATATGTTCGTAGGCATTCCTACAGACTGTTGCGCGGGATCCGATAATAGTCTTTCTCTAGGTCAACAAAACACATGTCATCGGATGGGTGAACCCCGACGATTTCTCAGCAATCTGGTGTAGGGCAAATAATTGGCCAGAGGTGCTTCGACCGGGCCGGTAGCCACACCGCTCCTGTATTTTGGAGTGAGTTAATCATATTTAGTCGGCTCCACTTTTGCAGCACTTTTTACACTTTTCCCGAGAGGTTGAATAAAGCAATGCTCTGATAATTGGAGCACTCTCTGTAGACTCTCTTCTTAAACAGCGATACTACAACCCAACTTCTCCAGTCCGCTGCGTCTTCTCCTTAGCCATTGTTATTTTACCGACACGTGTAAGCGAACACCTTTGTTCACCTCTTGATTTGAGCATTTCAACGCGGATTTCGTCAACATTCCAGCAGCCTTTGGACTTTTCAAAGCTTATGTGACTTCATCTACAGAAATAATAATAGCCGTTCCTTGCTGCTAGGCATGCGAGTCTTCCTGTGGTTGCTCAGGGTTAAGGAGTTCCTCAAACTAATTTCTCAGTCACCGAAGAACATGCTCATCCTCGGTAAGACAGTTTTCAGGTTATGTCCTTCAGCACTCGGAGACTGTCCTTCTTTACACCTCGAGGCCGGCGGATGGTCTGCCGGAGTGCCTTGTTTGCAGAAATTCGACTCCAGCACCTCACTGAATTGCTAGAAATCAGCTTTGCCTTTCGCCAGTGCTTTCTCTGCCGTCTTGCGTGCTCTGACATATCGCTTGCGAGTAGAAGGCTCTTTGCTTATAAGCCATTTCTTGAATGCGACGTTATTCTCTTTAACTGCCAGCTGTACCTTTCGATGTCAAACAGGAAGTTTTTTCTGACCTCCAGGCGACAAGCCAACCTATTAGAATGCTCAGTATTAGGCGAACAGCCTCGAGTATGCCGCTTTTAAAGAGCTCCTATTCGCTTGCCACATCAGTGGTCATCACCGGGATCTATTCAAACCGTTGTGCTGTTG